TATATATATATATATATATATATATATAATTACTTTATATACTTTAATACAAAAGTGTACACAAAATGTCTTACCTGCATACCCATTTTTTATAATGACGTTTCGAATAAACCCAGGTTGTTCCTCATACCAAGGATTGCTTATATAAACCATTACGTTGGTAAATTCTGTCGGGCTAATATTTTCAACAGAGTAAAGTAAATTTTCTGCAACCCACAAGTTAAACATATATTTGTTTTCCACATGAATCTGAGATATTTTTATTGTTGTCCAGTTATTCAACTGAAAAAGATTATCCGATTCTAGATGCTCATTGATTTTGTTGTTTAATGAAAAGCCAAAGTGTCCATATGAACCCATTCTTATAAATAGCGAGGCGATTCGTGCACCATAAATATTTTCATTGTCACCGATAGTTAAGTGAATAATGTTTGTAAACGTATACTTGGTGTATGAAGTTAAAAGCAGTTCAAATGATAGTTCATATTCCTTTAGAAGTTTATGTAATGTTTTTACAAGATGATTTTTTTTTATCTTGAACTGTCCGTTTATGAATAATATTTCTATATATATAAATATACATACATAAACACTTACATCCATCCATCCATCCATCCATCCATCCATCCATCCATCCATCCATCCATACATACATACACACATACATACATACATACATACATACATACATACATACATACATACATACATACATACATACATACATACATACATACATACATACATACATACATACATACATACATACATACATACATACATATATGCATGCATACATACATACATACATACATACATACATACATACATACATACATACATACATACATACATACATACATACATACATACATACATACATACATACATACATACATACATACATACATATATGCATGCATGCATACATACATACATACATACATACATACATACATACATACATACATACATACATACATACATACATACATACATACATACATACATACATACATACATACATACATACATACATACATACATACATACATACATACATACATACATACATACATACATACATACATACATACATACATACATACATACATACATACATACATACATACATACATACATACATACATACATACATACATACATACATACATACATACATACATACATACATACATACACACTTACATACATACATACAATTTACCTTTACCACTTGTATAGTGTATGTTTAAGAGCCATTGTCTGTGAAATCTGGGCAAATGCGCAAAATATTTGCGCATTGAACATTTAAGTGTTTAAACACTTGTATAAGGAACAAAAACAATTTAAGGGTTGTTGGGAAAGGTTAATCACGATTTTTAATAAAAAATAAAATCTAGTTACTCCAGGATGACAGAGTAATCGATGAAGCTGAATTAAGTTGTCAGTGTTTATTGCTGAGTAATGTATTCTAGAAAATGCGTCAGCTGAAATATTTAGTTTCCCTTCCCTGTAAACAATGTCATAATTATAGCAAATTTTCTATCGATAAAATTCGTAAATTTTAACCTTTGATATGTGTTGCTTTTTGAAGATATTGACAGAGGTTGCTGATCGGTAATAAGTTTAAAATGGCGTAGTGTTTCTGATGTCTTACTGCTTCTTTATTGCGTAAGCCTATTTCTCAATAGAAGGATATTTAAGCTCAGATTTTTGAAGTAATCTTGAAAAGAAAGCAGCAGGGCGACCATTTTGATTAAGAACTGCAGCTTTAGCAATATCAGATGCATCGGTTTTTTCAAACGGAACATTTTTATCCACATAATCTGTCACAGCATTTGCAATGTCTTGTTTAAATTTATTGAAATCATTTACACACTAATAATCTAATGGGTACTTGGTGTTTCTGGTAAGAGAAGCTATCTTGTCAGATAACTTTGGAATCCATTTAAAGTAGTATGAGAATAGTTCGATAATGCACTTCATCGATTTAGCATCATGAGGAGGAGGTCTCATTCATAGATTGAAGACGACTGGGATCTGTTTAAGATTTTCTTCTTCTATAAGATATCAAGAATGCAAATTTTATCTTAGGAGAAGCTTCATTTATTATGATTATATGTAAGATTTATAGTTTTAGCTGACTTGAGAATTTTTTTTATACTACTATCATGCTCCTCTCGGCTTTTGCCACATATTGTCACATTATCTAGATAAGCAAAAGTATCTAAAAGTTCTCTTTTTTTCTATAAATTCGTTTATGGTATGTTAAAAACAAGCAACACCATTTTTAATTCTAAAAGACATACGCTTAAATTGGAACAACCTCGTATTTTCTTCAAATGCTGTAAATTTTCTATCATTTTAAGTAGTTGAAATTTAATGGTAGACTGATTTCAAATTAACTGCACTAAATATTTTGTATTGAACAATTTTGTTTACTAGGTCATCAATCCTTGGTGAGTATACTTATTTATTGTTTGACTATAGTCAATAACTAATTGTTTATTGGAGCGTTCTCATTTAGTTACAATAAATGACTGGTTTTCCTTGCAATATCGAAGAGATTTTGAAGCTATTGGTTTATAGTTATGCGATAAATTGCCAAATAAACTAGGTGGAGATACATTCAACTTTGACAAACCACAAATTAATAGTGGGGGTCTTTTTTCTTCAAATTTAAGGGTTACAGCTTTGTGTTGTTTTTGAAAATCAAGACCCAAAATAAATATCATGCATAAATTATTTAAGATGTTAAGTTTCACTAGTTTATAATGCTCTTTTTTTATTGAAATATTGACAAAAACGTCTCCAAAAATTGTACTAAATAAAGAAGATGAAGCCATAGATACCTGGTTTGGTTGCATCTATAAACTGTTAGGTTTAGCTATTGTATCAATCGAGGGTGAATAAAAAACTATCAGTGCTACCACTATTAATGAGAGCATTTACAAATAAACCATTGACAACATACCAATCGTTAATTTAGTCATAGCTGAAATGGATGCTAAAATGTTCTTTAAATTAGTTTTATGTTTAGTGTAGTCTGGTCTAGTAAGTGAAGGATTGTATGAGTTCAAAGATTGATCAACAAGATTCATTATTGCTGTTGTAAGTTTAGAAGATTTACATAACTTGAAAAAATGACCAACTTTCTCACATTTAAAACAAATCGACTCTCTAGCAGGACAGATAGCTCTTGCATGTCTTTGATTCCTTCAGTACCAGCAATTTGAAACAGAATTTGAGTTAAAGTCCTTTGGCTTTTTTTTATTGCAGCTACTGTTAAATCTGGTGTATTATACTGGAGGTAATTTTCAGCATTTTTCTGTGCTGGTTCCAAGGTTCTAGCTTATGAAAAAATTTCATTCAGACTTATTATCTGTTTTCTAGTAGTCGCAGTGTGACACCTTGTGAATTTATCCCTGTTATAAATGCATCTCTAATATATTTACCGCAATATTCAATAGCAGACACCTGTTAAAGTTTCATTTTTTTGCTAAAACTTTAAGAGCATGTAAATACTCATCAAAAATTTCTCCTGGCTGTTGCCAAAAAGTATCGTGCATAAACCTTATTTGATGGTTTGATGTAGATTCTAAAGTTTGTATCGCTATATTTCATAATTTGGACATTTTCGTAAACATTGGCCACAACAAAATTAGTTAGGTTTTTTAACTTATTGAGTTCTTGAGAAAGTTCATCAAGACATTACTCAAATGTTCTGAGCCACTATTTAAATAATTTTGTTGCAGAAGGTGAGTTTGGGTAATGTATCCAAGCAAGAAGGTCAAAGAGCTCTATCCATATTTTGTTTTGATAAGAATAGAAAATTGAGACATTTGTATAAAGAACAATAGCAATTTTAATTCTTATAAGTTTTTCTACTCTAAAATAAACATAATAAATAATAAAAACACAACATGCATAGAGTGCAATTGCTACTTTGAGGGGCAATATTAACAACATGAGTATGACAGACGCATTTTTTTTTTGCTAATCTGGGTAAATTGCTACAGTAAAAGTAAAAATCATGTGCATGCAAGGACCTGGGAAGGAACAACCTGCTAAAAATCACTCTTTGTTTAAAGCGCGTTGATAGATTACCCATAGCAACCGTGGCCTTAGGTCTGCAATGAACAGTGTAAGTTATTTAGTTTCCTTAAACATGCATCTTCCATTATCTAATATAAAATAAAACAGAATTTCATATTTCATATGAAATTCTGTTTCGTTTAATAAAAAAGTATAATACATTAATACTTTATAGCCACCACCGACAAACCAGTGGAATAAAAAAAACCTGTTTGAAAGCCGATTACAAGCTTATCTTTTATGCTACGACTCATTATGTGCGTAACATTGTTTTTCTTTGGGTAGTAGCTGGAATCAGCCAAACAGTTGTCGATACCCAAGAAATGTATTTCAAATTTGTAAAAGAGTACCAAAAATATAGATCCATCCCTTTGAACACCCTTGCTGCTTATAATGAAAAGAGTTCATAACTTCCTGTTAGAGCCGTATTTTGCTTCAGCCATCTAAAAAGTATTTCTATAGATAAAAATATTGACATGCTAGAATCAGTTCTGACACCAATAAAGTCTTGCTTTCCTGATGATGACATATATGTTTCAGATATAACAATCATTTCAGATGAAACTATTGAAGAATCAAAAAAAGCAGCTAGCTCTATTTGTGAAGCATTTAGAACAAACCCAGTGTCCTTTCAGATAAAGCAAAAGCGAATAGAAGACTTATCCCAGGAACCAAACAGAAAGTTAAAAAGAAATTTAAAAAATTTAAAATGCGGCTTAAGAATATATTTGCTAAAGTAATTGCACCTTGTCAATCAGAAACACTAATTTTTCAAGTGTTACACAATGAGGACAAAAATGCTTCAACTCAACTGGTTCCATAAGACCTTGTTGTACCAGACAAGATATTTCAAGAAAGGAATTATATAGAACAAATTCTTTTGCTTTCAGTTATTAACTATAACAAGTACACTAAAGAAACATTAATGAAATTCTTTGATTACAAAAAAATATCCAATTGAAAAAGGACGCAAGTTGCAAAAAGAAAACAGAAAAATTTTCCATACCGAAAAAGAAAAAGATAAACATATGCCAAATGCCACAGGAAAAAATAGAACATTTTTTCGATCATCATTCAGTAGACAAGTAAATCAACTTGTATATTTACAAATACCAAAAGTATATATGGTAAAAAAATGTGACTTTTTTCTTGTCTTGGGACTTAAGATAAATATTAAGCAATTTCCTTTACCCTCCAAGTGTAATTTTTAGATGGAGTAAACAAAAAAGATCAGGAAGATTGGTAAACAATTTTTGTGAAGAGGTTAAGTTAACTGATGATGTGATTGATTAAATTGATGATGTGAGAGATCCATCTGAAAACAAAGAAAAAAATTTAAACGACGATATTTAGTTGATTTCAAAAGAGTTAGCAGATGGTTTTTAAATCGGTGATTGGATTGTTGTTCCATACTTTATGCAAAATGTAAGAAGTTATAACACTTAAGTATTGTAATTTTGTGTATTGAGATCAATTGCATTGAAATACAAAATTTTGGGTTTATTAACCATATTAACTAATTTCAAGGAAAATTAAGGAAGCAGCAATAATTAGGCATTACTTTATCTTTACCTCAACCATTAGGTCGTTGATGATGATATAAATGTTTCTTATATGGAATACTCTGCAGCACCTGAAAAGAATTGCTTCAAGTAGCAAACCTAAGAAAATATTCTCCAATATTTATCTCTTGACGTTGTTTGTAAGATTGATGCCCCAACACCAACTAATCAAAGAGGAGATTATTTACGCTTAAAAGACGGTATTGAAAACGTGGGAATTCAAATTGTCCATTAATAAACTTCTTTTTTTTTTAGTTCACAATTCTTAGAAAACTGTGTTTGCCAATTTTAAATGGAAAAAACGTTGATCTTGAAGTTTAATGGTTCTTTCTTTTATTGATATTATATATTAAAAGTAAAAAAACTAGTTTTTATCAAGTATTCTGGTACTGTTCCGATGAAAAAATGTCTTAAATTAAAATTTCTAATTACGCAAATAATCATTAATGCTGTAAAGTAGCTGTTGCTAAACTTGTTCATACCATTGCTAGGGTATTTTTTTAGTTAAAAAATTGGCGAAATAAGGCTACTTCTAGAACTTCTAGAGACTTTTTATCATCCGAGCAGATCGATTTTATTTCAGATAATGGAAGATGCATATTTAAGGACACTAAATAATTCATACTGTTTATGGCAGATCTAAGGTCACGGTATTTATGGGTTATCTATAAAAGCGCGCTGAACGTAAAAAGTGATTTTTTGCAGGTTACTACTTCATAGGTCCTTGCATGCACATAATTTTTCATAAAATCAATGTATGCTTTAGTGTCTTTCAAGAAACATTTAAGAAAACTACGTGCAAGGAATGGCCTTAAGAGATATTAGAGCTCAAACTTAGGGTAAAATTATTTTGTGGTTTCGGACCATGATTTCTAGACAACAAAAAATGTAACTATGCTGAATTTTTACTTTTACTGTAGAAATTTATTCAGATTAGCAGAAAAATTAAAAAAAAAATGTGTTTGTCATATTCATGTTGCTAAAATTGCTTCTCAAAGTAGCGATTGCACTCCATGCGCAAATATTTTTTCAGAATGGGCCAAAACCAAAATCCCAAATTTTGGGACCCAATATCTCCGAAGTAGAAAGGAATTTTTAAAAGAAAATTTACCAGTGGCCTACTTTCATTGTCTTTTAAAAAATATCGGAAAATGAGGACAATTTGAAGACATTACTTTGATACTTTGCCATGATTTCTCAGACAATAGCTTTTAAGTAATATATTTTTTTGAATGCATTCAAAGATAAAACTTAAAATATTATATTAAATTTTTTTAAATAGTCTCAGTCAGAATGTTTACTACTTTTTTAACCTCTTATATGTAACTTGTCATAAAATTTTAATATTATAAGTTTTACCTGCACAAGCGTTTGCAATTATCAAATTTTTTATAAACCCAGGTTGTGCGGACATCCACGGACTGCCCAAGTAAACTTTAACATTGTTAAAGTTCATTGGATTAATGTTTTGTACATTATATATTTTATGGTTTGCTATTTCGACTGTAAATAAATATTCACTTCTAAATTTGAATTGTGTTATTTTTATCTTTGTCCATTCATTTAAAGGGGAAATCACATGTGACTTAATTATTGTGTCAGATGTACCGTTTATTGCAGAACTAAAATATAAATAGTTATCAGGTGACACCCAAACACATGGTGTTCTATCTCCGTACTTATTTTTATCGCCACCCTGAGTAAGATGAATTACACTCGCTGATTTATTTAAAAATTTCGTTGGTTTAAAGTTAAACGATAATTCGTACTCTTTTGGAAGATTTGTTAAAATAACCAACAGCTGATTTTCTTTAATTTCTGTATCGTTAACCATTGTGAAAGATTCTATAAGTTAAAGAATTGTTTAAAAAGTATTTATTTTCAGTTACCCAAACCAAGAGTGTAACAAGCTTATGCTTCGAAACATGATTGGTTTTGAATCAATTTGAATTAAAAAAAAAAAACTAGCATAATTTATATAAAAAAAAAATATTAAAATTTTATATTAAAACTATTTATGTAACATATCATGTACACGCAGAGCATAGATACAAACAATATATTGTTTATGTCTTGTTCTACAAATTACTTATCACAAAATAAAGTCAAGCAAGTCAAATAGAAATTCCAAAGAACCTGTTTGTAAATTTCCATGAGACAAAATAGCCAAAGAAAAAAAAAAATACGTTGATTAAGTTATATTTCAAATGTCAAATTTAAACTGTTAAGCAACACTATAGTCTGTAAACTTTATAGGCTGCAAAATTTGAAAAACTAAAGTAATATCCAACTAGCACAACATTGGTCGCCAACGATGCTTTTATACCATTTCGGTTACAAATGCGACGTCGCCAGCAACAAAAATCCAACATGTCATAATATTGTATTTTAAGTTGGCAAAGTGTAATGTGTTACGTTGATTAAATGTTGTATTTTTTAGTTGGCACATAATTATATTTTACGTTAGCTAAACTTTGCATTTAATGTTTATCGGAATTAGATTTAGTCATTACTATTAAACTTATACATGAATATATAAAAATATATATAAATAAAAAGTCAGAAATAACGTTAGCTATCAAACGATTTGATAACACAAAGCAATCAAATAGAATGTTTACTTTGCTTGTGGTAGATATTTTAATACTGACAGAAGATTTTATTTCAGATATATATTTTTGCACTCGCAAACTTAAACTGTATACTTTGTATCAACGTTGATTCATATATATTGAATCAATATTGGGTTATATAGATTGGGTCAACTTTAACCTATATACATCAAATCAACGTTGGATCATTTACATTCAATAAACTTTAAGTTAAGATTGTAAAAACAATCTAGCTTTGCGATGGTTTTACATACGTTGGCTCAGTGTACAAGTTATTTTTAGTTGTGTCGGAATTAGGCCTTTTATTTATATTATAAGTTAAACGAACATACACTAAATGCGTTTTCTCAAAAAATCTACCACGCTTTACTATACTATCACGAAACCTCAATCATGTCAAGTATAAACCTCCATCATGAAACCTTCAATTGGAATAAGTGGATTTGTTTCTTTTTTTAATTTATTTTGTTCTAATATTTTTAATCTCATTAATACAGTAACTTTTTGACTTATACTCAAGTATATGCAGTATGTTAACGTAAAAGTAGTTTAAAAATAAAATAATTAACAGCAAATTAAATATTAGTTTACTACAGATAGTGTACTTGCCTCAGAAACAAAGAAACCGTGGTTCAAACTCCACCTTTGGGCAAGTTTTGCAACATCAGTTAAGAAGGCGTGAACTTCCAATCAAATGTTCATCCATGCTGATCGGTAAAAAGGTCGTAAGGACTTCTTGGGGCACCTTATTAAAGTTAAAAAAAAAAAAAAATTGTATATTTTATGATCCATGGAAAAAAAAAAAAAAAATCAAAGTTGCTATATTGTCTTGAAATGTTCTCAACTTAAAGGCAAGCATATACGTTATTAACTGTTATTTTAGCATACTATTTTCAAGATTAGCATTTTTAATTAGTTAACCAATAATTATTTACAACTATTAATTTACTATAAGTTATTGTTTCAGGTCGTAAATAAGAAAGAAAACAGTATTAAGAAACAAAGAATGGCAACTGCGGTAACATGGGTACTGCACCTTAAACTGAGGATTTGAAGATTGGTGCAATGTGCAATTTGTCAGCTGCATTTCAACAATTTGCCCCTTCGTCACTTGTTTGATTCCCTTGATATTCCTACCTTTAAACCTACTTCCTACACTGGTTGCATCGGAAAAATTTCCGGAAAAGGTCTGTGTGCTGCTTCCAGTAGTAACATTAAGTCAGAGAACTACACCTTGCCATTACTTGATATACCAAATTTGAGTAAGGACCCCCTCAATAAAACAATGTGAAAGCTTTCACATTCCTTCTAACTTTATCAACTAGTAGTTGATATAGTCAGAAGGAATGGTTTAATTGAAAATAACTGATTATATAGATAAAAAATAGAATAAAAATTTTGTATTAATTATTATAACATAACATTTTGTATGTTTCTTTCAATAGCGTTTCCATCAGGTCAACTATTCATTTACATGGATGATCAACAGAATGCTCTTTTATGTTATTTTATTTTTATAATTACTTTTAGTGTGTGCTGCCATTTTTCTAAAATCAAAAATAAGCTTTAATTGTTCATTATATGGATCTCTAATGTTTGTCGATCATCAACGACAGTTCACACCCATAACTTTTAAATGAAAAAAAATATATATATTTAAAGTTCATTTTTACATTTTTAGAGAATATCTTAGAAAAATTTGCGCTCTATAAAAATTACGCTATATAAAAATTACGCTTTAAAAAAATTATGCTCAGTATTTACCAAGCCTAGTTTAGGCTTGGTCAAGACTGAGATATAAGATATGGTCAAGACTGACACATTTGTATGAACTCAATATCAATTTTATTTAGTCTATACTTGATTCTGGAGCGTAAATTTATAAAGATTTTCTGCATGTTAACTATTCTTGTAGAAAAAGCCATTTAAAATACTCATAAATGTTTAAATAGGACAACATTCTAGCAAGTTTACGTGAGATGTAAAAGTGGAGAAAACTACGCGCAAGTAACGTTTGCCACTTTTACAAAAGTAAAAGTGGCAAACGTTCACTCAATAAAACTGCTCAATTAAGTAGCAACTCTTTTTAGGCGTGTTAACAGCATTGGTGAAACTATTAGTAGTGGTTCAAGCACAAAATAACTGCAACATTTTGAATTAATTCTGGTGGTTACACTCATCAAATTATCCGATAAGTGCTTTGGGTAGAACTTACAATGACGTCATGACTTTAGTTAATGACTATTTGCTACACCAAGGTCAATCTCATGTGTTTTCTAATAGTGCATCAATGAATGATTGGTTTGAGCTTTTCATCAATCGAAGTTGGAGTCATATGTTAAGCATCAGAGCTGTTGGCATAATTTCATCACTCAGAGCCGCTTCTTGCACACAAGAAAATGTAGCAAAGTATTTCGACATATTGCGAAGAGAAATCAGCAATTATAATTTAATATGAACACTTCATTTCATTTATGAAATTTTGATAAACTGGTTTCTCTGGTGATTGAGGAAAAAAATGGTCATTTGAGCATTGACCAAACCACAATTAAAATTAGTTGGCAACCAAGAAAAAATCAATTATACAGTTAGAAATCAATGCTGCTGATTACAGTCTCGTGCCATACATTATTTTTAAATTAAAAAAAATTTCTGTACAAAAATTGGTGCTTAAGTTTTTCAGACGATGCCGCTTATGCATCATCTCCATCCGGATGATAAGCAAATCGTGCAGTGGCTCACTAGCATGTGATAATGGCGTGTGCCATTAAAAAAAGTTTAGGTAAATAGTTTAGTGAAATTGTTAAAAATTAGTTTATTTAATTAATTATTTAACTGAATAAATTAAACTTTGGTTATCCAATAAAAGGTACTCATATTTTAATCGTAAATAAACAGCTGACACATATTACCTATCAAGCTGTACTCATTTGTATTGAAAACACTTTCTTGTTAATTTGCTTACTAGTTCATTTGTCACATATTCTGCAGCCACTAGATGTCGGTGTTAATTAGCATGAGAGCTTGACGCATGTTACTTCAAGAGTTTTATGCAGATATAAAGTTTAGCAATTTGGTAAGAGAATGTTTAGGTAAACTGCAAGCAAAACCTTTTAGCTCTGGTGAAGTTTTTACACGCACTCAAATAGTCACTGGATTTCAAAATACTTGCTTGTTTCCGCTCAAAATCAAGAAAATAAATCAATCTAAATTGCGAATTGCTAATGCGTTTGTCACCTCAACCACCTGTACCTGTACCAGTGTCACCGCTACCAGTACTACTAGCTACGCCTTCTCAGCCAATGTTTTCTGAACCTACACCAACAATCTCTTGCATCAACATATGTCATGTAGCACTAGCTCTAAAGTCAATCCCACAGTCAACTCACTTGCAACCAACATTCAATACAACTCCGGCTATTCAAATAGAAACTCAAATGGAAAAAGAAATTGAAAAACAACTGCAATTGATCCAATCGCTTGCCTCAGCTTTGCAACAAATGTTTTGATCTAACACGTTGACACAAAAAAACGAAAAAAAAATGTAGACATGCCAAGATGCGGACGGAAGTGTCTAAATAGATATAAAATATTCGAAAGGTTGAAGAATGCTAACAGCAAAAATCAGCAAAGCAAACCAGGAAATTACGTAAGTTTGACTTTGATGATGAGCAGCAGATAAATCAATTAACAACAGTAACTTCAAAAACAACAACAACATTTAATAGCAAACCAAGTCAAGTGTAAAAAATACCGTAATATTTTGAGCGAAGCTCAAGCAATTCAAAATAGTGAATGGTATCAGTGCAAAAATTCAAAATATTGTCAAATCAAAATATTTTCTTTTCTGGTTGTTTTTTTAATTGTTATCATTGGTTGCGTTTTTTAATTAGGTATTTTTTTAATTACCCATCAAGTTGCATTCTCCACAAATATGATTATATATGAAATATTGTTAGAATGAAGTTTTTTTTTTCAATTAAAAATTTTTTAAAAACTTTTTAAAAAATTAATTGCTTTTTATATACTTAAATAAACTTTAAAATTAATCTTTAAAAAAAAATTAAAACTCTTAACAATTTCATTTAACCACTTTTACTCTTTTAATTTATTATATTACTATTACTCGATTATTTTATTATATTAAAATATATTACTTTTGAACAATCTTTTTTTACTTACGAAAAGTCTCTTTGTGTAATATTGAAAGAAGAAACAAAAGATATACCTAAAAAAAAAAATTCAAAATTGTTACTTAAGTCTAAAAATATGGGTTTAAACATAAACAGATTAAAATAAGAAACGGACATTATAATATTATTCAACGACAGTGCATTATACAAATATGGGCCGAGCCACATGCTAAATAAAACAATAGTTGATACAAATTTTTATTCTTGGGAATTAATTTTTTGTTTAAAAATCTGTATGAAATTCAAAAACTAAAAAAATAAAATTAAAAAAAAAAAAAAAAAAAAAAAAAAAAACGAAAAACAGCAACATTAACATATGAAATGAAAAACAACAGTAACAAAAAAATACATGATGACAAATTTGATTGCTTTTTTTCTAAAAGCTTCCATTCTGAAATATATCGTTAGATAGCAATGTAAGTTTTATTACAGAAAATGGTGAGAAAATTTAAGCAAAAGTTAAACAATGTAATAGGGAAGACCCAGTGGGCATTTCGACGTCGAACGAACGTCGAGCGACGTCGGATCTCGACGTCGGATCGACGTTGGGTTTACGTTGGAAATGGAAATGTTATTTGACGTCGGATAAACTGACATCGCGCGACGTCGGCATTCCGATGTAAATCCAACGTGTTTTTTGAAAACTAAAAAACGCTGCCTTTAGCAGGAATCGAACCTCGGTCTATTAGTTACTTAATTCTATGCGCTTACCACTACACCACAAGGACATATTAATAGGCGAGTTTATTTAGTAATTTATACTTGAAGCTATTTGGGAATTATTACTTTGATAAGAAATAATTTTGTTTAAATATTATATAAATAGTAAAACGAATAGTTATATATTATAAAAAATGTATACTCGAAAATGTTAATAGTTAAAAAACTATGCTAGTGCATCATACAAAACCTCATGATGTTTTATCAACCTTTATTCAAACTTTTTTCCATTAATAAAAAAACACGCTTAGTTCACATAATTATTGAAGAGCGCAATTGCACACATATTGTTGGGTTTGGATTATATTTTCATCAGCGATGTCTTACGACGTTGTTCCGACGTCGTTTTAAGGACGTTGGATTGACGTCGGAAGACGTCAAAAGACGTCGGAGTACGTTAATATTATGACGTTGCCCGACGTCTTTTTATCGACGTTGGATCGATGTCAGTACTGCGACGTTTTTTGGACGTCTTTTATAAGATGTCGGAACAACGTCAAAATACATCGAAACGACGTCAGGGGATGTTGAGATAAAGACATCGCCCGACGTCATTTTACTGACATCGGAACAACGTCGGAATAGGTCTTTTGACATCGCTGATGAAAATCAAACGTAAATCCGACGTCGGATTGACGTCGGGTGCCCACTGGGGATGTCAACATAAGAGATCGAAAAAAATGAGAAAGGAAAATCTTTTCAAAAATATTTAAAATGATTTTTACAAATTTCTTTAATTTTTATTTAGTGTTAAGAAATTAAAGAGTATAAACTTTTAGTCTCAAAATTTTTGTTTATTTCTAAAAAATAATTATACATAACTGAGAATTGTAGCCATTAAACTTTGCACAACTTTTATTGCCTAATGGTTAAGATACCTTCAGCAATTCCTGTACTGAATTAATGGTTTTTCCTGTTTTACACTAATATCTTTCGCCAATATCCTAATAATTTTCGATGGGCTCGAATTGTAGGTAACTTCGTGGATTGAGCTTTTTTGGTACAAAATTACCCTTTTTCAAATCATATCACTCTAAAATAATTTTAGCGTAGTGGCACGAAGCTAAGTTAGACCAAAACAAAAAAAGTCTAGTGTGCGATCGAATGAGTGGCAAAAGTCGCTAATTTGAAGGTACTCTTGAATATAAATTTCTGATGTCAAAGTTGATGACGTCGCAAAAGCTCTACTCTTTTTTTCCGCAACTACAAATTTTCCATAAGAGCAATTTTTTGCAATATTTGTCACAATTTTGTATTTATACTTGTTACTTACACAGCCACTAACAATTGAAGTATAGTAGTTGTCATCAGGAAGTTGACTAAGGTCCCATTTTATGTATGTACTTGACAAGCCTAGAATTTTTTTCAAAAGAACAAAAAATCTTATTTACCACTGATTTATTGTTAATTTTTTTTTCTTTCAAATCATTTTAGCTCATTCGAAGCATAAAGTTTTCCTATATCATTTTATAATCCTTTTTATAGGAAGGTACATTTAGTTTTCCATTTTTGATGTTTCTAGTTAAATGTAAATGTATAAATCGAGTTAAAGTGAAAAAATTTGTAATAGAGGAAAATAAGTATTTATTAAGAGAGTCAAATACAAAAAGAAGATTAGCAAATACAACTAATGCTGACAAAGTAGGAATTTTAAGTTTTTTGAAGAAATTTGAAGTTTCTGTATTGCGGAGTTAAAGATTTATTATTCGGATTGATAACAATTTATTAATATAACAGTTGCCAATTTGTCCCCAAACTTGACCACAGAAGTTGAAATGAGATTGAAAAATTGCAAAATACAGGTTCTTAAGGGTAGTTTTATCAACATAATGGCGAATTATTGAAAGCATGCCGTTAGCGTGGTTAAGTTTTTTTCGGAGTGCATCTATATGAAAATTCCATGAGAGACTCGAACCTATAAAAATACCAAGATATTCAACAGCCTGTGTTGGATATAAACGTCTATTAATAATTTTAATTTTAGATATATGATTGTCGTATAAAAGTTTTTGTTTTGGGGTTTAAAAAATATTAGTTCAATCTTTTCCAAGTTCTGAGAAATTAAGTTTGCGTTTAGTCAATGAACTAATCTTTTTAGATTTAAGTTTATATTCTTACTCAAGGAATGATGAGACTTATTAATATGTAAGATATTAGTATTATCACCAAACTAATGGACTGATGAGAAATGGACAGAGTTATTTAGATCACTAATATAAATCAAAAACAATAAAGTGCCAAGAACAGAACCCTGGGGAACACCACAAGAAAAAGCGACAAGAAGAGTGATTAAATCGAAATTCAAACTAAAATTAATTTAAACAGTTGAAGTAACTCAAAAATGAGAATAATCTTGAATAATTAAAAAAATAGTTTTGAGTCATTTTTACATACTGGAATGACAAAGATAATTTCAAGATGTCAGGAAAAATTCCATTTAAGAAGGAGAAATTAAAGAGCGTAAAGAGAATATAAAAAAATCTTTGTGAATACTTGTGGGGATGCTGTTAGGACCTATAGGTTTTCATTTCAGATAAAAGTGATAAGATTTCAAAATGGTTTGTTGGAGATATCAGTAAACTATAAGAATTTGAATGCTGAATACTACATTTTTTTTCCAGATTGAAAAATCTGTTTTACTTCTTTTGTTGTCAGATCACAAGTAAGAATAGACTCATAGTATATATTCAGTCAGCTGTATAAACGTTGTTGCATCATAGTATATATTCAGTCAGCTGTATAAACGTTGTTGCATCATAATATATATTCAGTCAGTTGTATGTTGTTGCATCAGGTTTTATTTCTGGTGTTATTCTTGCTCTCACATTTTTTATTGACAGTTTTAAGTTTTTCATCATCAGGACTTCTGATTTTCACAATTAAATTTATACCATTCTTTCTTTCCTCGACATTCTCTGAGCAGAGCATGGTCTGTATGATGCACTTAGGGCAAGCATACCACGCTGAACGTCAAACTGTTGGCATAACAATTTCTACTTTTTCACTTGATTAATGTTTCAGAAGGCTAAGCTGTTAAAGAATGTCTCGGTCCTTCAGTAAACCTGTGCTCAACTTTTATTTTAAACAACATAGGATGTAAATTCCAACAATGAACTCAATTATTAACTTAAGGTTTTTTAAATTTTCGCCTTCCAACTCATGTTTTGAGACCCAAACTCGCAAAAAGTCTGTTGGCAGTTGTCAATCATCTGGAATGATTAACTGGTCCAATTTCAAGTAAAGCCAACTCTGCGGGTATATTTCCAATTCTAATAGCAGAGACTATTTTATATCTATAAAACTGATAGGAGCATAAATTTTTGATTACTTCATCCTTTAGAATAATAATCGGATTTCCGACATCAATTTTTTCAAAGGATGTATTAGTTTCCAGAGCATTAGCGTCATTTAATAATTTTTCAATGCTGCCTCTCCATTTGATGCTGCTCAGAGTCTCTCCATCAAGAGTTATTATCAGATGACGCAGAGGAAGTTCATTAGTATGGAGCGCGAAAACCAGCCAGTTTAGCTTTCTTCCTAACTTTACTTCCAGCCAATGTATTATTCCGCCTGACCACCCTGTAATAACACTAGTAGAATCACCACCGATCGCTGTTAAGCTTTTATCGGGACCATTACTTTTCGAAAATTTGTATATATTGATCAATTACTTCAAAATTCGTATATACTGATCAATTACTTCAGCGTGTTTCATATATTTTTGAACTTTTTCATGTTCGAATTGGAAAAGATACCTACCACTGGGCTCTTGACATACTGTATAATGTTCCTCTTTGATTGTAGCAAGATAACGTTTAGACGAACCTTCGACTACTAATTGAATCTTTGTATTATCAATTCTGCCATTAAAAAAAACACAATCAATAATGGTAGATCTGCATTGAATATCAAACTCTCTAGAAAGACACTGCATCATTTTTTTTTGAGTTTTCTTGACCTCGCTGTGGTCAATAACCAACTTTATATCATCTTTTTTAACTATTCCTGCGTCCATCCAAGCTGCCGTTGAAATTGCAGCCGTTTCCCGTAAGCCTTTGCCATACCGTATGCTTGCTAACGCTATGTTGGAAACCATTTCATAATTCCTTTGTCCTCGTAAAGGTTCTTAATCTTCATTCTGTCGATACATTAGATGGACTTCAGTAATGCTGTTTGTTGTGAAGCATTCTTTACTAAATAGTTCATCTGTTTCGCTAAATTCAAATTCAAACTTTTCTTTCTGACTTCTAACTGTTTGTTGCAGTTCTTTTAACGCTTTTTGCTTTAGCTATGGATAAAGTAATTGAATTTTCAT